ACAGATCGAACCCCGAAACAACCTCTGGGCTGATCTAAGTCAGGGCATTGCTAACTCACAGATTGAACCCTGAAACAACCTCTGAGCTGATCTAAGTCAGGGCATGACTAACTCACAGATAGAACCCTGAAACAACCTCTGGGCTGATCTAAGTCAGGGCATGGATAACTCACAGATCGAAGCCTGAAACAACCTCTGGGCTGATCTAAGTCAAGGCATGGCTAACTCAAAGATTAAACCCTGAAACAGCTGATCTAAGTCAGGTTATGGCTTACTCACAGATCCAACCCTGAAACAACCTCTGAGCTGATCTAAGTCAGGGCATGGCTAATTCACAGATTAAACACTGGTAGAATTTATTTTTACTTCTTATTTCAAACATAAAATATGCCCCCCTCCCGGAATTGATGGGTTGCAGGCATTCCCAAGAGAGTTATAAGGTATAAGCATGGTGGCCATTTGGTGCTGTTAACAATGGATGCTAATGAGAGAAATATTTTGTTAAATTGCACCAACCCTCCCTCGAGAGGTCACGATGACATAACATGCAATAAAAGAATGAGTTAAGATATATAGGCTTTTACATGGCTGCACGGAATCATTGAAATCATTTTTTGCTATTTAGTGCAGTTCCTAATAATTATTACCAATGACGTTTTCTTCAGATGCGAAGATATCCCTTTTAGTAATGGAGAAAAAAGAATATTTTATTGATGATCGTATACAGCATTAAAATGTTAAATGCAAATGCTTGTGCAAATTCTCATAAAATTATTATCATCCATATGGGATTAACTTAGAATTTTTAAACGTAGTGAGACTAGCAAATATATTTTTTAGCCTGGTAATTTTCATTAAAGACTTTCTCGATTTATATTTTCCGTTCTTAAGTTTATCCTAATTTTAATATTTTTACTGTCCCCACCCCCCTTAAAATCGTACTTGAGAAATCTGTCAACACCAGTGGTGAACGGTTTTCTGAAATGACACGTGGCTTAAAACATCGACGTCTTTTACCAAGCACTACGCTCCATAAATAAAATCACTGTCGCTTAGCAGCTTCATTACCATAGATATTGTGTCTTATTTCGAAGAGAGATTTTTTTCGACTCAATGAACAAGAACAAAGGGGTCGCGTGCAAACATCACAAGACAACTAGACAAAACATTTGCCTTACGTCTGGAAATTTCACCGAAATATTAAAAAAAACTTCAGTTGTATGTTTGATAATCAAATATTAGGGTAGCTTTCAAGCTTCAGTTCATTAATGTTAAACAATCTGTTATATCATAAGTGGTTTCTATGGTTTTAAAGGGAAATTTGTCTTGACAAATGATCAGAAGTATTTCACATCATCGCATTGAAATGGCTTTCCCTTCTGCTTTAGAAATCACTTCACACGAAAATATTTAAATTAAAACACTTCGTTATTTCTCTTATGATAATTTTGACGAATTTTGACCAGGTAGGGTAGATTTTGCCTTTTAGATCAACAGATTTTAGTTTACAAACATCTGGTAAGCTGAGTGTCAAACAATATAAAATATGATAAATCCAAACACTGGAAAAAAATCTCTTCAAAAAGTATAAATTTTTTACTCGCTACTTACCCTAATCGCTCTTTTGATTCCTCTGTTGTTAATTGATCAAAGGTTTTTTTCTCTTCTCCTAAAAAAGCTTCATGATCATATTCCGAGTTGTGTTCTTCTTCTTTAAAGTGGTCTTCGTCTGAAACTTTTCCTTCAAAGACACGGTTTTTGCCCTTTTTTTCTTGCTGTGGTCTTGCAGCAGCAAAAACGAAAAGCGCACACACAAGAATCCCTACAGATATTCTCGCCATCTTTAGGCGTTTAAATTAAAATTCAGCTTGAAGATGTTCCTTTGTTTATAATCAGGTACCCGTACTAAATGAATAGACTGGTTCATATACCTCAAATGAGAAAATTGTCTTTAAAGATGTGTGCTGAGCTGATTGGTTAGAATTAAACACGTGATRGTAATCCTTTCGTCTTATTGGTTCAAATCTGCCACGTTGGCATACGAGGGGAGAGAGGGGTTGATACATGCATACGTGGATTTTAGAACTAATGACTCGTGTATAATTACCTCAGATGAAAAAAATATAATCCTGGGAAGAAAGCGATTTGTTATTTSCACATCCTTTCTTAATCATGTAGCTTCTCATGGTCTGGGGACAATTGTTATTGTTATCGCATAACCTACCTTGGAAAACATGCCATGACAAGAACGGAAGCTGGCTAACCTACCGGAACTGAGGTCGGCTTCCGGCTCGTCCGTTACTTGATTCCTGTGTAGGTCAACGGTGCATTTACGGTCGATCAGTAACGACAGTTACAGCAGTAAGTAAAGATGCACGAGTWAACCAAGTACTAGTGGAAGGAAACGTTACAGCTG